ATCTACAGAAAAGTATAAAAACAATTGTAGGTGGTTAACACTTGGTGTTGACGGTAAGCCATAACACTATATCCATGTCGTGGTTCCTACGTTACGTTACTAACTCTCTAAGTGTTAGAAGCAAGCCAGTAGTACCTGTATTTCTCGTAAGCACCGAGAAGAGCTAGACGGTTAATACCAAAGCCCTGGGTTGTCCTTACGTCGTGATCATTACGTGTGTGCATCCTCCAAGCGAACATTTCTACCTACCTACCTACCTTACTACCTAGCTACCTATTCCACCACCAACCAACCGACCGACCAAACAGCCAACTGGCTAGCCAACCAACGAATTAGATAGCAACCAAGCGAGAAAGAGAAAGGGCAAAGAGGGAAAGAGAGTAGCCGAGAGAGCAGTTACAAGCGGTAGATAGCAGTATTAACGCGTGCGTTACAAGACCGAACGTTGGGGGAAACCCGCATTACGCATTAGTATCGGCTTTTGCAGACGTTAAAACCGATCGACATTGCGTAGGTACATTGCCGAGTGCAAAACCGATAAGCTCGATTAACGTCCGCGATACTCCTCCAGCGCTAAAATGCAATTTAAGCGGTTCCTACTCGCTCGACACTAACGCTCCTACAAAGCAAGTACCAATGCATAATGCGGTTCTCCTCTACTCTATCTCTATTCCTATCTCTATCTTCTCTCTCTCTTTCTTTCTCTCTCTCTTTCTCTCTCTTTCTCTCTCTCTCTCTCTAACGCATACGTATATACGTATATACTCTAACAAACATACACAAAGCGCATCTCTAGCTCCATCACGAAACCATTTCTGAGAGCGTTAACGCGTCCGGATAGTACGGTGTCGTCGTCGATCCCTCTACTAATTCCTATCGGTGATACCCAACGTCTAGAAAGGATTACTTCTCAAGTACCGTGCGTGTGCTCACATCGAGTTCCCATCGAACTTTTGTCTTTCCTGCCGTACCACTTACGACGGAATGGACGTTGTGAAACTTGATCGAACTAACAAACAAGTAGTAAGTAATCCTAACGCTGTTTCCCAACACAAAGCGTTAATACTAAAGGTATTTGATTTATACCAACAAATTACGATATTTAGTATTAAAAAGATATATGATTTTCTAGTTGTAGAAAAAAAAAGGAAAACAAAAAAAGAAAAAAAAAAGAAAAGTTTTCATTCTATACTCTTAAGTATATATAAATATTTTTCGCCGTGGATCTATCATATTCGATAAGCTTATTCGAACGCGTTAAGAAAAAGGAGAAAGTCGAGAAAGATGCGGGTGCCAGGTTTGCATAGAAATATTTTTCAAAAGTTCGTATCGAGTGATCCTTTGAGAGAAGAAGAGATAAACAGAGAAAGAGGGAGAAGAGATATATATATATATATATATATATATATATATATATATAAACAGAGAGAGAGAGAGAGAGAGAGAGAGAGAGAAAAATAATATCTCTTGTCGCAAAACAATGACCTAGTTTCACGTCGGCGAAAACTTAGCGCGCCTATATCGAATTTACCGCCTAATATACAGAGCTACCATAGGGGTTCGTTTCAAGGGAACGGATCAAAGGGAACTTCGTTATGGGTTCTGGTACATGCCCGAACGTCTACGGATATAAGTTCTTGATGCGAACGATAATCAAAGGACGATCGCATTAGAAAACTAACTCTGGCCTTGCGTGTTCTCCAACAAAGTGAATAGAATATATATAGGTATCTCTGAAGTGATTTAAAATAAAAATATCGACGTAAAGAGTTTATTACATAATAGATAACAATTAAAGAAGAAAAATTATATTGAAATTCGTATGTGTTAATAGATCGCATTGCAATGTATAATAATTTCTATTTGGAACCCGTTGTGGTTTAAGGATTGGTATCTATTGAGAGAATAATAAAGAGAGAGAAAGAGAGAGAAAGAAAGAGAGAGAAGGAGTGAGTAAGAACATATAACATCTACGATATTTCGCCTTTCCGTTCTGGCATCTAAGAGTATTGAAAAATTGACAAATTGGATAGTTTTATCGGTGACTCCTTAGCTTTATCGAATACAACCCTTTGTCAACGTCAAATGCTCCTATATCAAATACAAGTGCCTGCCAGGCTATTACATTTCCTAGCGAGCCTGACATCGCGCGATCATGGTCACGCTAGTATCCTTGATGGAATTTTTGAACTCATTTTTCCACTCTCTTTTTCTTTCTCTCTCTCTCTCTCTCTCTCTCTCTCTCTCTCTCTCTCTCTCTCTCTGTCTTTCATTCTGTCGCTCTCACTGTTAACTGCAGAAGCCTCTTTATTTGATTGATTCCCTTAAGAGTATAAACAAGCTAGAATCGGCCTAGCTTTTGATACAATATCGTTTAAATTTTTAATTTCATGTTCTTTTGACGTTAATATAATCAGATAAAATGTTTAATACATCAAATAAAACCTCGGAACATATCGAAATAATCGTCAACGACAAAATAATATGTCGTTGATTAGAG